AATAATAATAATAATATAGTGATGTGTTCTGTTTGTTTGTTAACTAGCTGTTATTATTATTATTACTATTTTTAGTTTGTTCAAGGGCTACAAGAGGGAAATAAACTTATTCTCAATCGTTAACAGGAAATAGAAAGCATTTTGGGATGAAGACTAACAGAACATTTTGAGCATTAAAAAACTTGTCAAACAGCTTCCTGGGGTGTTTCCGTGCTTGCTTTGAGCTTGGGGACCATTTTCCAAACAGTGGATGATAAAGGAAAAAATTACTTGACTTGGCTGAGCCGGTATTGTGGATCATTCCTCAGCTCAGAGAGCTTCTTCTCTGCATATTCTCCTGGATGGTTGTAACTCAGGTCCAACTCTTTCAGATGTGAGGGGTTTAACTTTAGAGCTTTGACCAAATAATCACAGCCTTTTTCTGTCACCAGACACCCAGATAACCTGAGAAAATAATAGTTTGATACATATAAATGCAGCTTTTAGAAGATTTAGAAATCCATCAGCAGGACTACATCTGTTGCATCGCTGAAAGACTAAATGACTGCAGGAATGAGTATTTACAGGGCAGATGCTATGAAGAACAAGACCTGTGCTAAAATACCTTCTGCCAGGTGATATCTGTTTCACTTTGTAGGAGGCTGGATGGGTTGTCTGTGTTTATATTATGATGCATAAACATTTAATGTACCTCAGAGTTTCCAGTCTGCAGCACTGACTCGACAGTCCTTTACAGAGCAGGTCCACTCCTGAATCTTTCAGGTCATTGTTGCTCAGGTCCAGATCTCTCAGCGGTGAGAAGGGGTATTTGAGAGCAGCGACCAGATGATCAACCCACTCTTCACTTACTTTACAGTCTGTTAGTCTATGGAGGGTGATGGGTGTTTATTAATTTTTATAGAAACAGATAGATGTAAAGAAAAGGCATGTTTAAAGATACTTAATGGCCAACCATGTGATTGCCATTTGTAATACAGAGGACTTGTCCCCTCTCCTTCCTCTTTTGCATTCTGGCTAATAGTCCAGTTTGCTGAAATTATTTAAGGGTGAAGAGTTTATCTCACAAACAAGAGTGAAGAAAACTTACAAGGCCTTTTTGCTGCTCCTCACTGCCGGTATCAGCCTTCGTCTGCCCTCATCTGATGTGTTGTAACTCTTTAAGTCCAAGACTTCCAAATCGTTCTTTGATACCTGCAGCATGTAGGCCAGTGCAGAGCAGTGCAGGGGAGTCAACTCTGTTTTTGAATGATCTGACAATTTGAGATATTCCTGAATCTCATCTTTGACTTTGTGATCTCTCATCTCGACCATAGTCTGGAAAAGGTTGATGCAGCTGTCTGGAGAGAGGTTCTTCCTTCGCATAGATTTGATGTGAGTCAAGATTTTCTTGTCAGTATCTTGGCTTCGATCTGTTGGAGTCAGCAGACCATGAAGGACTCTGTGGTTGGGTTCAACTGTGAGGCCAAGGAGGAATCTCAGGAAGAAGTCCAGGTGGCCATTTTTCTTCTCCAGCACTTTGTCTACTGTTATTTTAAGAAGTTCAATTAAAGTATGCTCCTTGTCCTTTAAATCAAAGAAGATGCTGAGATCTTTAGTATCATTGTTAGTGACACAGTCATAGATGTAGAGAGCTGCAAAGAACTCCTGCACAGTCAGATGCACAAAGAAGAAGACATTTTTCTGGAAAATTATTTTTTCTTCTCGAAGAACTGTGGTGCAAAATCCAGAGTCAATGGATGCTTCTTTAATGTCAATGCCACAGGCCTCCAGGTCTTCCTCATAGAAGATGAGGTTGTTCTTCAGCAGCTGCTCAAATGCAAGCTTGCCGAGTTTCAGAAGAAATTTCCTCTGTGTTTTCAGAAGCTTCTCTTTGTTTGTCTCAACCTTCTTGTCATATTTTCTACTTCTGTGTTTTGTTTGGACACAGAGAAAGTGTGCCATCATTTCTGTAAGAGTTTGAGGAATTTCAGTTTTCTCGTCTCCTCCAAAGACTTCCTGGAATAACACTGCAGAAATCCAGCAGAAGATTGGGATCTGACACATGCTGTTGAGACTCTGTGAAGACTGAATATGTTTAATGATTCTGTCAGCAAGATCTGGATCATGAGTAAATCTCCTCGTGAAGTATTCAGCTTTTTGAGGATCATTGAAACCTCTTATCTCTGTCATCATGTCAACATGTTCTGCAGGGATCTGATTGGCTGCTGCTGGACGGGAAGTAATCCAGAGGTTTGCATCAGGAAGAAGGTTACCCTGGATGATGTTTGCTAGGAGATCCCTCACAGGTGCTGCTTCCTTGACAGATGTTATAGTCTTAGTGCCTTCAAAGTCCAGCTGAAACCTGCTTTCATCCAGACCGTCCAGGATCAGGACAGTCTTGGTTTTGGTATAATCCACTGAATCTTTGAGTTCTGACAGTGTGGGGTGAAATAAAGTCAGGAGCTCATGTAGGTTTTTTTCACCTGTAATCAAATTCAGCTCTCTGAAAGCAAGACTGAAAACAAAGTCTAGATCCTGGTTTGCCTTCTCTTCGGCCCAGTCAAGAATTAATTTCTGCACAGAAAATGATTTTCCAATTCCTGCGACGCCCTTCGTCACAACTGTTCTGTGAGGTTTGTCTTGATCAGGCAACGGTCTGAAGATGTCACTCAGACTGACTGATGAACACGTTTCCAGTTTACTTGTGCCATATCTGAACTCATGCTCTGTACGAGGCCCTTCACTCTCCCCAGTGGTGATGTAGAGCTCTGTATAGATGTTGTTCAAAGGACTCGGCTTGTCACCATTACCTTCAGACACCAAAAAAAATTTTTTTTGCATCGCTTCTTTCCATGTCTTCTTTGCCTCAAACAGTTTGATGTCACCTGTAACAATGAAATGCAAGATGAACAAGCCCAAAGTTACATTGTTAATACCAAATGATTTCATGTTTTTAAATGGGAAAAATGCAAAATCACAAAATGGCAAAGAGAACAAATCTTGAAATTAAAGTTTTCACTGGTTTAATTGTTTAAATTTTGTGTAGGATGAAAAAAATTAAAATCCAGAAAATTCACCAATTACAAAGAACCCTAAAAAAGTGTGTATAAAAGAGATGTTTTATTAACAAGAAAATCCCAAATATTCAAACATTCAAAATACCGCTCAAACTCATTTTACATCTAATGAGAGTTTAAAACTTTTCTCATAGTAGTTCTACAAATTCTTAATACATACCATTGTCATCTTCAGTATCTTTCAGGTTTTTCAATGTTATTCTGGATTTCTTTCCACACTGTGGACAGGAGTCCTCTGCTGGTGAATCTGAAGTGACACACTGTTTGCAGGACTCATGTCCACACATGAACTGGACTGGATCCCTTAAAACCTCCTTGCACACTGGACAGCTGGATTAGATGGGAGATGAAGAAAACATTTCATTATTATTGTGCATCACACACAGTGATATGACTGTATCTGAGGCAGCATTTGATCTACAAACAAAGAAATTATTCTCCTGTATTCAGAAACCTGTTGGTCTGGAGATTTATATCTATATTGCTATGGAAAATAAACAGCCTTAAAACATCACCTTCATACACCATCAACACCACATCATACACTTCTTCTTTTTATTACTTAAATTACTGTGTCGTGTCGTGCCAACGTTGGACAGTTTTCCAATTTCATTGTACTATTGTACTCTGTATGACTGTGCAATGACACTGAAAAACAAAGTTGAATCAGTTTAGAGTCCACAAACATCAAATGTAATATTCCTCAGCAGAAACTAATGTTGCCCCTTTAGCAGGATTAACCTAGATCCTGTTGAAAAGACCTCCAGGTTCTTCAAGTATTTTGTCACATGATGCAGAATTCATCATTGAATTTGTGACTGTTGGAAAACATTTATCTATATTCTGCATGAAAGCTCATTGTTGTTACTTGATCAAGGTTTTTCTTTGAAAAAGCTATCTATTGTGTGCCAATATCTATTGAGGCCACATAACTCTTTCGCAATTAATCTGTTCTATGACATTATTCCAAAAAGCCTGCCTTTGTGTTCACAAGCAAACTAGATTTAGTGTGATGTTTCTGTATGAAAGCAAAGGGTTTTCCTGGTAAAATTCCATGCAGCTCAAACGTGCTGAACAGCTGCACTTAACAACACCGACAGTTGAAGAGCACATTGTCTCATCAAATTTGGGGCCCTTGAAGATTTCTTTTTGCATCAGATACACTATTGTTAGGCTAAATTTAATGAAGCATTAAGCATTACTCCACCAAAGTGACTGTGAGTGCTCTGAAATCTAATCCAGTTTTGTATTATGCTTCTTAAGGTGAAATGATTATAACTTTTTCAAGGAATCAAAATCTGAATCGTAGCATGAGCGAATCACTCAGGATTGACTCACCCCCTCCCTCCTGGCTCCCAGCTTCTTCTTTTTGTTTGGCAACTAATGTTAAGGCGCATTACCGCCCCCTGGCTCACAGCTCAGTGGACATTTACATGAGAAAATATATATTTGACACATTTGAGGAAAATACTAATAAAATAAAATAAAAATAAATAAAATAAATGTTCCCTTTAGAATTTTTTTCCCCTCGTTTTTCCTCCAAGAAAAGAGAAACAAATTAGGTTTGAGTGAAAATGTACATTTTTTGCACTCTCTGGGCAACTGACTAAGTGACTCAAATGACGCAAACCCGATTCAATTTGGTGAGTGACTCATTCAAACTCGATTCAGTAAAAAGAATCAAATTTACCATCACTACTATGATGTTCATACACAACTTTGTGATCTGTA